TAAATTAATAAATTAAATTAAAATAAATCCGGAGGAGGAGGAGGAAGGAGGAGCGAGACGCGGAGCACCGCGCGTTTATCCATCGGGGAAAAAAAGGATGAAAAATCCCCCCCAAAAATTTGGGAATGATGGAAAAATTCCAGGAAAAAGCCGGGGAAGAGCGGAGGGACGGCTCCAGCATGGCGGGGGCCGCCCGTGACCCCCGACCCTGCGGATCAGTGCCCGGATTTGCGGCCCTGCCGCATTCCCGGGGGGGATAAAAAACCTGGAAAAATCCCTTTTTCCCCAAATTCCTGAGCTTTCCCGGCTGGAATTGGGGTTGGTTTCCCTCCACCCCCCCGCGGGGATGAGGAATTTGGGGAATTTTCCCCTTTTCTCTCTGTTTTCTCATTTTTTTTTTCTCCTCGAGGAATGCGGGGAAAAGATTTTTCCAGGCGGGATTTGGGAATTTCGGGATTTTGGGGGATTTTTTTTTGGGGGGTTTTATTTTGGGGTTGGATTCCCGCTGGAAAATCGGGATTTTGGGGGAGGGAGATCGGGAATGTGGGCGGCGCTGGGTTGGCATCCAAGGGGTTAATCCCGGCTTTATTCATTCGTTGTTTTTCCCGGGTTTTGTTTTTTTTTTTTGGGAAGAATTCCAGAGGGATCCGTCCGGCTGCTCCCAGGGCTCTGATTCCGGGACCTGCTCCAAATTCCCGGGATTTGGGGTCTTTTCCCCTGGATTTGGGGTCTCCATCCCTGGATTTGGGTCTCATTCCTTGGATTTGGGGTCTCATTTCCCTGGATTTGGGGTTCCCTGGATTTGGGGTCTTTTCCCCTGGATTTGGGGTCTCTTTCCCTGAATTTGGGTCTCATTCCCTGGATTTGGGGTTCCCTGGATTTGGGGTCTCATTTCCCTGGATTTGGGGTCTTTTTTCCCTGGATTTGGGGTCTCTATCCCTGAATTTGGGGTCCCTCATTCCCTGGATTTGGGGTTCCCTGGATTTGGGGTCTCATTTCCCTGGATTTGGGGTCTTTTCCCCTGAATTTGGGGTCCCTCATCCCTAAATTTGGGGTCTTTCTTCCCTGGATTTGGGTCTCATTCCTTGGATTTGGGGTTCCCTGGATTTGGGGTTCCTCATTTCCCTGGATTTGGGGTATTTTTCCCTAAATTTGGGGTCTTTTTCCCTGGATTTGGGGTCTCATTTCCATGAATTTGGGGTCTCCATCCCTGAATTTGGGGTCTTTTTTCCCTGAATTTGGGGTCTCATTTCCCTGGATTTGGGGTCTCCATCCCTGGATTTGGGTCTCATTCCTTGGATTTGGGGTTCCCTGGATTTGGGGTCTCATTTCCCTGGATTTGGGTCTCATTCCTTGGATTTGGGGTCTCATTTCCCTGGATTTGGGGTCTTTTTCCCTGGATTTGGGGTCTTTTCCCCTGGATTTGGGGTCTTTTCCCCTGGATTTGGGTCTCATTTCCCTGGATTTGGGGTTCCCTGGATTTGGGGTCTCCATCCCTGGATTTGGGTCTCATTCCCTGGATTTGGGGTTCCCTGGATTTGGGGTCTCATTTCCATGGATTTGGGGTCTTTTTCCCTGGATTTGGGTCTCATTTCCCTGGATTTGGGGTCTCATTTCCATGAATTTGGGGTCTCCATCCCTGAATTTGGGGTCTTTTTTCCCTGAATTTGGGGTCTCATTTCCCTGGATTTGGGGTCTCTATCCCTGAATTTGGGGTCCCTCATTCCCTGGATTTGGGGTTCCCTGGATTTGGGGTCTCCATCCCTGGATTTGGGGTTCCCTGGATTTGGGGTCTCATTTCCCTGGATTTGGGGTCTCTCATCCCTGGATTTGGGGTCTTTTTCCCTGGATTTGGGGTTCCCTGGATTTGGGGTCTCCATCCCTGGATTTGGGTCTCATTCCCTGGATTTGGGGTCTCATTTCCCTGGATTTGGGGTCTTTTCCCCTGGATTTGGGGTCTTTTTCCCTGAATTTGGGTCTCATTTCTTGGATTTGGGTTTCCCTGGATTTGGGGTTCCTCATTTCCCTGGATTTGGGGTCTTTTTCCCTAAATTTGGGGTCTCTCATTCCCTGAATTTGGGTCTCATTTCCCTGGATTTGGGGTTCCCTGGATTTGGGGTCCCTCATTCCCTGGATTTGGGGTCCATAATTCCCTGGATTTGGGTCTTATTTCCATGGATTTGGGGTCTTTCCCCCCGGATTTGGGGTTCCCTGAATTTGGGGTCTCATTTCCGTGGATTTGGGGATCCTCATTCCCTGGATTTGGGGTCTCTCAATCCCTGGGTTTGGAGCTCCCCTTTCCTTGGATTTGGGGTCCTTAATTCCCTGAATTTGGGGTCTTTTTCCTTGGATTTGGGGTCTTTTCTCCTGGATTTGGGGTCCCTCATTCCCTGCCCAGGGCACTGATCCCAAATCAGGGATGGGAGACCCCAAATCCAGAGGAAGAGACCCCAAAATCCAGGGAAAAGGGAGCTCCAAATCCCGGGAATTCAGGACCCCAAATCCCGGGAATTCAGGACCCCAAATCCATGGAAAAGGGGAGCTCCAAACCGAGGGAATGAGGGACCCCAAATCCAGGAAATTAAAACCCCCAAACTCTAAAACGGAGGCTCCAAATCCATGGATATGGAACCCAAATTTAGGGGTGAGGGACCCCAAATCCCAAAAAAAGGGGGGGGGGACTCCTCAAAGCCCCCCCACCCCCCCCCAGGAGCTCCCCGAGGCCGCAGCGCCCTCGGGCCGCCCACGAAGGGCTGAAAGAGGAGGAAAATGAAAGATTTTTGTGCTTTTAGGATTTTTTTGGGGATTTTTTTTCACCTCCTGGGCGTCCCCAAAACCCTTCGGGACCCCCAAATCCCCCCCAGCGCTGTCGCGGGGTGATGACGTCACATGTAAACAACCACAGCAACGGCGGGAATGCAAATATCGCGAGATCCCGCGAGATCCCGAGGTTATAAATAGCCCCGCCTGAGGGCTGGGGCCCTCAGAGCCCGCCCAGCGGGGGGCGGGCGCGGGAGGCGGGGCCGCGCTGCCCTGGTGGCGCCACCAGGCCCCGTCACGGCGGAATTTATGAGGGATTAAAGGATAAATCCCGGGAATTCACCTCGGGAATTCCCGAATTCCTCCTTGGAATGACGCCGCTGTCTCCTCCTCCCGCTGTGGGGTCGCCAGGAGTGGGTGTGTGGGGGAAACTGAGGCACGCCGGATCGCGCTCTTCCATTTTTCCCTATAAAATCCGCCAATAAAAACTTCCCGATTCCGATTTTTTTTACTTCCAACAGCTTTTTTTTTAAGGAAAAGTCCAATTATAATCATTAATTTGTTGGTTTTATCAGCAGGGAGGGGAAGGGAAGGGCTGGAAAGCGAAATTCCAGCGGGATTGGGGAAAAAAATGGGAATTTTGGGTGTGATCCTTCTAAAATTTGGGATTCCTCGAGGGAATCCTGATTAATTTGTGGATTAAAATAGTTTTTTATATTAAAAAAACCTCCAGGGATTTGTGGTGAAAATTCCCGGGGAATAAATCGGGATAAAGCCATGAATAAATCAGAGAAATCCCTGGAATAATCCTCGGGATAGATTTTTAATTTTAAATTTTTATGGAATTAATTAATTTTTTTTTTTTTTTTTTTTTTCCACCAAATCCCCTCCAGGCGTTTTGGAAAACGCTGGAATTGCGGGAATTTCTCATGGAAAAAGGAAAATATTCCTCTCTCCATCCATTCCCGGATTTTCCCGCTGCGGGAAAATTTAGGAATGATAAAAATCTTAATTTTTTTTTGATAAAATCCCAAATTCCGGATGAAAAACGAAGCTGGAAAAGGCAAAAAATCCCTAAAATAAAACCGGGAATTTTTATGGATGCTCCCAAATAAAATAAATAAAATAAATCCCAGGAAAACTTGCGTTTTGTTTTTTTTTTAACCATTTATATTTATATATATATATATAAAAAAATTAAATATATATAATATATCGTGTTTAAGACTAAAAATATAGTACAGAATATTTAAAAAAAACAAAATAGGGAAAAATCCAACGTAAAAATTAAAAAATAAAATCCGGGAACGGCGAAAAATCGCGGAATTTTTCCAGAAAATCACGGAATTTTCCAGAAAATCGCGGAATTTTTCCAGAAAATCGCGCGAATTTTCCAGAAAATCGCGGAAATTTTCCAGAAAACCGCGGAATTTTCCAGAAAACCGCTGAATTTTCCAGAAAACCGCGGAATTTTCCCAGAAAATCGTGGAATTTTCCGGAAAAACAACAAAAAAGAAGGGGAAGAGGGGGGAGGGGACCTAAACCAACCTAAAAAATAACAAAAAAAAAGGGGGAAATTCCCATTTTCCAGCCCCAAAAAGGTTGGAATTTTAAAGCTTCCCGTTGGCCGGGGCGGGAATTCCTCCTTTTTTTTTTATTTTTCCCGTGGGATATTGCTCTGGAATTTTGGGATGCAGCACCTGGAGCGGGAATTTCCTCCCCTCCCCCTCCCCTCTCTGGAGTTTTTTGGGGTGAAATCAGGAAAACTTTGGGAATTCCCGGGGTTTTTTGATTTTTTGGGGGGGGGAATTTTGGGAATTTTGGGAATTTCGGGAGGAGGGAATTAAAGGGGGAGGGACCCAGGGCTCGTACCGGGATTGGGAATTTTGGGAATTTGGGAATTTCGGGGGGGTTTGGGAAGATCCCGAGCTGGGGGAGGGGGTCTCGTACCTAATCCTGGGGGTTTTTTGGGAATTCCCTCCAAAATTCATCCCAAAAATCCCGGTTTTTTTTTTTGGGAATTCCCTCTGAAATTCCTCCCCAAATCCCAAAAACCCCTGGGGGCTTTTTTTTGCGAATTCCCTTCAAAATTCATCCCCAAATCCCAAAAATTCCGGGTTTTTTTGGGGGGGGAATTCCCTTCAAAATTCATCCCCCAAATCCCAAAAATCACGGGTTTTTTTTGGGGAATTCCCTCCAAAATTCATCCCCCAAATCCCAAAAATCCCAGGTTTTTTTTGGGGAATTCCCTCCGAAATTCATCCCCCAAACTCCCCCATCCCCAAATCAGGGTTTATTCGGGAATTTGGGAATTCCCTCCCAAATCCATCCCCCAAATTCCCGAAGCGGGGCGTGGCCGAGCTCCCGATCCCAAGGCTTCGGTTCTCCCGGAATTCCCGGGAATGCCGTTCCCACCTGGATTCACATTCATGGGAGGATCCCAACTTTGGGATCATCCCGGGGATCCGGGGATCCCGGCCTTTCCCACGGGAACGATGTGCGCGTGGAACGGGGGAGGGGCTGCTCCCAAAAATTCCCAAATTCCCGCGGCCTCCTCCGGCTCCGGGGGGGATTTTTTGGGATGAGGGGAAACGGGGCCGGAGCCGTCCCTGAGGGCGGGGTGGCCCCGGAGTCAAGGCACAGGGAACGGGAATGGTTTGGGATCGGGGATTTTTCGGGATCTGCGCGTCCCTCTGGATCCGGGATCGGGCGGGGAACGGTTTGGGATGAGGAATTTTTTGGGATTTGTGCATCCCTGTGGATTTGGGATCGCGCAGAGCTCTCAGGGAATGGTTTGGGATGAGGAATTTTTTGGGATTTGTGCATCCCTGTGGATTTGGGATCGCGCAGAGCTCTCCTGCCGATCCCAATGGGATCGAGGAATGGGAATGGTTTGGGATGAGGAGTTTTTTGGGATTTGGGATCCTGCAGAGCCCTGGAGGAATGGAATGGATTGGGGTGAGGATGTTTTTTGGGATCCCTGTGGATCTGGGATCCCACAGAGCCCTCCTATGGGATCCCCCTATGGGATCGAGGAATGGGAATGGTTTGGGATGAGGAATTTTTTGGGATCCCTGTGGATTTGGAATTGCGCAGAGCAGATCCTATGGGATCGGGGAATGGAATGGTTTGGGGTGAGGATGATTTTTGGGATCCCTGTGGATCCGGGATCCCACAGAGCCCTCCCGCCGATCCCAGTGGGATCGAGGAATGGAATGGTTTGGGATGAGGGTGTTTTTTGGGATTTGTGTATCCCTGTGGATTTGGGATCGTGTAGAGCCCTCCTGCTGATCCCAATGGGATCGAGGAATGGAATGGTTTAGGATCAGGGATTTTTTGGGGATCTGCTCGTCCCTCTGGATTTGGGATCACGCAGAGCAGATCCAATGGGATTGAGGAATGGAATGGTTCGGGATGAGCATGATTTTTGGGATCCCTCCGGATCCGGGATCCCACAGAGCCCTCCTGCTGATCCCAGTGGGATCGAGGAATGGGAACACTTTGGGATCGGGGAATTTTTATGGGATCTGCGCGTCCCTCCGGATCCGGGATCCCACAGAGCCCTCCAATGGGATTGAGGAATGGAATGGTTTGGGGTGAGGATGTTTTTTGGGATCCCTGTGGATCCGGGATCCCACAGAGCCCTCCAATGGGATCGAGGAATGGAATGGTTTGGGATGAGGATGTTTTTTGGGATCCCTGTGGATCTGGGATCGTACAGAGCCCTCCTGCTGATCCCAATGGGATCGAGGAATGGGAACGCTTTGGGATCGGGGAATTTCTGGGATCTGCGCGTCCCTCCGGATCCGGGATCCCACAGAGCCCTCCTGCTGATCCCAGTGGGATCGAGGAATGGGAACGCTTTGGGATCGGGGAATTTTTATGGGATCTGCGCGTCCCTCGGGATCCGGGATCCCACAGAGCCCTCCCGCTGATCCCAGTGGGATCGAGGAATGGGAACACTTTGGGATCGGGGAATTTCTGGGATCTGCGCGTCCCTCGGGATCCGGGATCCCACCGATCCTCTCCTTGTGAAAACCCCGGGAACCGACCGACTCCTCACCCTCCTCCGGGCGGGGCAGGGGGGGGCGGCAAAAGTACCGGCAAAAACAACGGCGGGAACGAACGGAATCTCCGGGAAAACCCGTGGGAACCAACCCCTGAATATCAGGGGACGCTCGTGAGGTACCTGCAGACCCCTCCCCAACCCCCCTAAACGTGCGTCTGCATCCGCTGCTGGAAGCGCTGCCCGTAGTCCGAGTGCTGGGAAGTGTAGGAGAACCGGGCGGCGTTCCCGAATTTCCCCACGGCCTCGTAGGCGTCGTAGGCTCCCCGCTCCAGCCCCACCGCCGTGCCGAAGCCCAGGCNGATTCCTTGGGAATTGTTTGGGAGGATTGGGAATTTCTTAGGAATTGTTTGGGAGGGCTGGAATTGAGGGTGGGAATTCCTTGGGAATTGTTTGGGAGGATTGGGAATTATTTGGGAGGATTGGGAATTGTTTGGGAGGGTTGGGAATTCCTTGGGAATTGTTTGGGAGGATTGGGAATTCCTTGGGAATTGTTTGGGAGGGTTGGGATTTCTTGGGAATTGTTTGGGAGGATTGGGGATTCCTTGGGAATTGTTTGGGAGGATTGGGAATTTCTTAGGAATTGTTTGGGAGGGCTGGAATTGAGGGTGGGAATTCCTTGGGAATTGTTTGGGAGGGCTGGGAATTCCTTGGAATTGTTTGGGAGGATGGGAATTCCTTGGGAATTGTTTGGGAGGGCTGGGAATTCCTTGGAATTTTTTTTCCCTAAAATCCATCCCAAATCCCTCCCCGGATCCTCTCCATCCCCGGAGACACGAGCCGCAAATTCCCAAAATTCCCATCCCGATGATCCCAGCTCCTCAACGCCCGAAATCCCGGGAATTTTCCACCCATTCCGAGGTGGGGGGAAAAAAGGAAATAATAACAAATAAAAAAAAAAACCCAGGATCTGGGATTTTCCCAGCCAAAATTCCCGGCGGGAGCGGACCTTGAGCTCGTACTCCTCGCGGGTGTCGATGGTGTCGCAGCGCAGGTCCTGCTTCAGGTCCACGTCGTCCTTGAATGACTGGAAAATTCATGGAATTTTACGGGACTTGGTGGAGTTTTCTGGGATTTTACGGAGTTTTGTGGAGTTTTGTGGGATTTTGTGGGATTTTATGGAGTTTTGTGGAGTTTTGTGGAGTTCTGTGGATTTCTGTGGGATTATGGAATGGTTTGGGATGGGAGGGACCTTGAAGGTCATCGAGACCTGGGGACTTTCCCACCATCCCAGGCGCCAATTCCATCCCCAAATCCATGGAACCCTGGAATTCTTTGGGATGGAAGGACCTTCAAGATCATCGAGATCTTCCACCAGCCCAGGTGGCCTTGGGGACACCTGGGGACACTTGGGGACACTTGGGGACACTCCCAGGGTTGGGGACAATCTCTGCCAGCCCCTCCCGGCTGTTCCAGGTGCCAATTCCATCCCCAAATCCATGGAACCCTGGAATTCTTTGGGATGGAAGGAGCTTCAAGATCATTGAGATCTTCCACCAGCCCAGGTGGCTCCAGTCTGGCCTTGGGGACACCTGGGGACACCTGGGGACACCTGGGGACCCTTGGGGACACTTGGGGACACTCCCAGGGTTGGGGACAGCCTCTGCCAGCCCCTCCCGGCCGTCCCCAGGTGTCCCCGCTGTCCCTCACCGAGTAGATGGCCTTCATGACGCGCGTGGCCGTGGAGACGCTGGCCGTGTCCTCCTCCCTGTCCGCGTGCAGCGTCAGCGGCTCCCGGTTGACCGTCTCCACCTTGATGTCCAGCTTGCGCAGCGTCACGTCCTTGCGGCCTGGCGGGGGACCGGGGGTGAGCACCGAGTGACCACTGAGTGACCACTGAGTGACCACTGAGCACTGAGTGACCACTGAGTGACCAC